AACGCGCTGCTGGTGACAATTGTTCCATTCGTTAAAACACCAGTTAACCACATGTGAAAGTGAAGGGAGACTTATGGTGTTATCTAATTATTAATTTAAAAATAAGGGTACCTCTTTACAATATGGGTCCATTTGTTAACATAAGTTATACATTAGTTAACAAAAACTAACAATGAAAAATACTTAAGCATTTGTTAATCTTAGTTAATGTTAATTTGAACATTTACTAATACATTATTAAATCAAAAGTATCTATTTATATGTAATGAACCTTAACTAACAGTGAGCAGATTTAATATTAACTAACATTAACAAAGATTAATAAATACTGTAACAAATGTATTGCTCAATATTAATGTCAGTTAATGTGTTAAATAACAGGACCAATATAATTTAGCTTATTACAGAAACCACAAAAATGCACCTAAAACATTTATGTTATATACATATATACCAAAGTCTGATAGCACTAGTAAAAAGGCATATATTTAGCATTTTATTTAATGCAATATATATATTTTTTTTATAGCTTTGCTATGTCAGCAGCTCTTGTGTTTCATTGAATGCAAGGAAATCTGAATTTTATACTTTTTAATTTTTATACAAAGTTAATTTCCATTTTGACCACTTTCAAATGACTTGAGAAGGAGACCACATCTTTATCATTGAAGACATATCTAAACATGTGGTCGTTTTCAGCCAATGTAGATGCGTGCATGATGCACTGATTAAATGGTTTGCAGCTGGCCAGAGACATATGTTGCACAACTCTCTTACAGTAAAAAAAAAAAAAAATGTATGGCCTTTTAGGGCTTTTGTACATTTCATAAGTATTTCTTATTCATTCACATCATAAATTCTTTGTTGTTTGCTGGTAAATATCCAGTTCTGTTAAAATAATAAAGCAACCAAATGTTTATTTTCTATCATCTGTAAAGGGGGATTAAAAGTGATTTATGGTCCAAAATAAAGTGACATCTGAGCTTTGGTAGTGCGCAGCCGAGGGGCCCAATTTTAGATAAACACATCCTGTGGCAACTCTCTCTTGGTGTGCGGCCTAGTTTATAGCTCTCCCTGTCCACACACACACACACACACACACACACACTCATACATACACACCACATCCTCTCCTGTACAGCTTAAATGTGAAGAAAAAGCATGGTTAACACTTTCTGTCTATATATTCGTGAAGACAGATCTTGTGATAATCATATGGACACTTGCAAGGTTGTGTAAGCTTATACTTCAGAGCTCGCTGAAACAAAAGCAAACGCGAAAGTCATGTGAAACAAAAGCAAACATGTGTGCCCAAGACTGACATTGTATTCACACATATATAAACTCCCACATACCCCACACTCTCTCTCTCTCACACACACACTAACTCAGGATGCAGCACAGTAACACAAAACTGCTGCAGAAACCTGTGCCCTAAAAGCACAACTTTGCTGTTCGAAAAGGTGACGTTGAACATTCTTAAAACTGAGGATTTATGTTGTTAGATGCATTTTTATAAATGCAAAATCTATCTGGACGTTCTGTAAAAAGTGAAAACTGTGCAGCTGGTAACCTAAAAAAAAGCGACTTTTGTTGGCGCAACCTAATGTTGTCAGGTTGAATGAGTCATATGCCACCACATTTTTAGATTGTGACAAATATTTTCATTAAAGTTGACGAAAATATGCATCTTATTTTTCAGTTTAATCCATATATTGTTGGCATGCTATTCTTCTAAAACTACATTATACAACACTTTTCTAATAATTATTAGGCATGCAATATGAATGCAATAATTAAGAGACTACATGAAATATGCATACTTAAAAAAAAAATAAAAAAAAAACAGTTAAAGGAATAGTCCACTCAAAAGTGAAAATTTGCTGAAAATGTTCTCATTCTCATGCCATCCGAGATATAGATGAGTTTGTTTCTTCATCTGAACAAATTTGGAGAAATTTAGCATTACATCACTTGCTCACCAATGGATCCTCTGCAGTGAATGGGTGCCGTCAGAATGAGAGTCCAAACAGCCCATCCCCTGTTGTCCTCTCACATCAAAATCCACCGTTTTGGACTGTTTTTGCTTATAAACGGTGCTTGATCTGTGCATATTTCTCTCCTGATTCAGACTTTTTCACTGGAAAAACAATATTATGATCTAAAGTAGGCTTTAAAGTTAAAAATGCCTTAATGATGGATTTGTTTCATACAAACGAACAGCTTTTCGCTTCACAAGACATTAATTGATGGACTGGAGTCATGTGGATTACTTGTGGATTGTGATGTTTTTCTCAGCTGTTTGGACTTTCATTCTGACGGCATCCATTCACTGCAGAGGATCCGTTGGTGAGC